TCGGGCACTTCTTTAAGAAGTAAATGCCATCCAAATGTTTTATTATACCTCGCAACCACGGGATACTTTCCCTCGGGTATGCAGGAGATTTGATATTTATTTTCCAGCCATGGCAGTTCAATGGTCCAGCATTGAAATACATCATCGCAGTAAAATTCTCCGTTTGTACCCTCAGGAAAGTAGGTTCTATGAATTTCCAGTTGCATTAAAGAACTTCCACTATGGTTAATACATTAAACGCTCCGTTACTTAAGCTGTACTGATCACCGTTGATCTGTTGGTAGAACATTAGTTTTAGTAAGAAGATGTCAGTTCCGGTTCCGTTTGCTGAATTTGTGGGCGACAAGAGAATGTCATTGCTTGTCATGTCTAGTGCAACACTTTGTTCATTTGTTTCATAAACTTCCGTGTCTCCTGTTGCAAAATCCACACGTGCCCAGCAACCTTTAAACGCCACGTGAGTTGCACCTTGCGGACTGATCACGTCGTTTTTTGTAATGAGGTTTTTGATGGTGATATCACCGGTCAAGGAATCTACATGAAATGCTTTTTTCAACACAGCACCGAGCGAAGTGTTCTGATTAAAGTTGAAATTTTTTAGAGCTTGTTTCCCTAACGGGGACGTAATACCCGCAGCAACATTTCTTAATCCTCTTTTTGATGTTGTATCCAGATTTTTAATCACACTCATCACCTGGGTCATTCTTGAACTAGCTCTGTTATCAGCCGTTCCAAGAATCATCATACGTAAACAATCACGTAGTAATTTACTTGAACCTGCCGACTCACCAAACTCTTGTCCGTTCTCACGGGTACGTGCAAATTTTGGATCGCTTTTAATGCGACTTCCGTCAATGCTGGTTTTTTGTTTCGCCAGGTGACCGTCCTGCGTTTTGTACAAAGTTAAATCTCCGATTGTACCATTAATTTTGATTATGCCTGTTTGTCTTGCCATGATTTTTTGTTTTAGTCCCCATAGCCCCCCGTTTTAAAGGGGATCCCCGATTTTTAACCGGGCTGAGAATTATGAGGACGATTATTAATTTTATTTTCTTGCTATCCTTCCCGAATCAGGCTAGCACTGCTTCGGTGTCATCGTTCATATCGCGAATAGAACTGCTTGACGATTCAAAATTACTTTGAGAATAAAGGGGAAATGAATTTTACCAGCGCTTTACACTGGTTTGTGCAAACTAATTCGCTTTGTGCTGGTTTGGTTGGCTAAAAAGCTCTGGGCAGAAGCTTATTCCAGTTTGATCTACTTTGTACTGTTTTGTATTACTTTAGGTTGGATAGCACGCTGTAAGTTCAAATTGTCACTCAAACAAAATTTAAACCCAGTTCTCTCTTATACCTTCGGGGTTTAAAACCTTGTCTTTGGTATCCCATTTGCGGGTATTTTTACTACATGAAGGATGATCTAAAAAAGCAAATAGCCGGGTTTGTCACCGTTAAAGGCGCCCGCGAGCATAATCTCAAAAATGTGAGTTTACAAATACCTCGCGAGGCGCTTGTAGTGTTCACCGGCGTTTCAGGTTCTGGAAAATC